AGCCGTCGGAGGCCCCCCCACACTGTCGTTGGTGCAAGGTGGCAAGGCTCCAGGGGCATCCTAACCTCTAGCGCACCCTCCCTGCAGCTGGATTGGGGGGGGGCTCCGCCTGCCAGTCCCACCCTCCAGCTGCACCCCACACCCAGCCTGTGCGGGGCAGGTGGTGGGGGGGCAGGCACTTCCTACCTCCACCCTGCAGTGGGGCTGGGGAAGGGCGTAGGGCTCCACAGGCCAGCTCCAGCTCCAGCTGCACCCCTCTGGCCTCCAAATCTCTCAGGATGGGAGCTGGAGCTTCATGGGCCATTCCCAGCCTGCACCTGGCCCTTTCTGCTCTGCAGCCTGTCTGGGGAGGTGCTCCAGGGCCCAGCCCCAACCTCCCATGACCCCTTTTTCCTGCAGCTGTTCCAAGGCTGGACCATAGTTTCTGGCCCCAGCCTCTCCTAGGGGGCACCTCCTCTGGGGAACCTCTCCTCATGGAGGAGGAGCAGGTTTTTAACTCTCTTCCCCTGCCTCTCTTTGGCTCCCCCTCCATCCTGCACTATTTGTGACAGGGGGAGGCACTTCGTCTGGTGGCAGTCATTCTGCAGTACAGCAGTATCCTGTGCTCATTAGCCCCACTGGTCACTCTGCAGCATCACTCCTCTCTGACCAGCCCTCTCCCTTTCCATGTTACAGTTCTATTCCAGACACTTCCCATTTTCCTGGCACAACCAAACACTGACCTTTCTTTAAGTTAGGGCAACAGGAAGCTGCACACCAAATGTGGTGGTCCTAGCTCTTACCATTTAGGAGGAGTTCTTGAACAAATGGACTCTCAGACAGATGGATTGGCTCAGAGACTCACTCTAATACCTATTCATATATATACATTTATACAGATAAAAACAGATGCAAAATATATATTCGCCCACAGAAATGTTTTAATTATGCAGCACTCCTCAAAATGCTTCATGTAGATAGGTGGAAAGATACTGAAAAGACTGTAAACACTACTTGACAAACCTCTTGTACTCACGTTACAAAAAAAGGAAGCATGTCTTTCAGCAAGATGAAAGTAGCTATTCCTCTAGTATATCTGGCCACCAAGAAACGTTTCAACATTATACTTCAACTCTGAAATACAATGCATTAAGCTGTTTCAAAGTTAACTGGATTCCTTGACCATAAAGCAGATATTCCCTTCTCTTAATGCTTCCAATATAAATTTTCAACTAGTTTTCTATTTTCTTTATTAACTAAAAACAATCAAAGAGAAAAAACAATCTTTCAAGTTCCAGAGCTTTTACACATTTTCTCCCATCATCAACTAGGGTAGACAGGATGGAAGTATTCTCATGCTTCAGTTGTCAGCTGAAGAATAGCGAAAATTTGAAATGTTTATAGCAGCGGTCTCCAACCTTTTTAACCACGAGATCACTTTTTCAATTCAAGTGCAATGTAAGATCTACCTCAAACCCAAATACCCTTGCCCCACTTCCTTCCTGCCCCTTCTTTGAGGCCCTGCCCCTGCTCGTCGCTTCTCTGAGGCCTCACCCTGCTCCCTCTATCCCTCTTCCTCCCCGTCGATCACTTTCACCAGGCTGGGGTAGGGGGTTGGGATGCAGGTTCTGGTCTTGGGCCAAAGGGTTCAGAGTGTGGGAGGGGCACTGGGCTTAGCCCAGGGTGAGGGATTGAGGTCCAGGAGGGGTTTCAGGGTGTAAGCTCTGGGAAGGAGTATGGGTTCAGGGGGACTTATGCCTGGGGCCGGAGGTTGGATGTAGGAGAGGGTTAAGGGCTGGGGACAGGGGTTCAGGAAGCAGACTCTGTAAAAATCCAAAGGAAGGAGGTGGGCAGCCCTTGGTGGATATCTAAAGAAGTGATTATTCCCCTTTATTCTGCACTGGTGAGGACACATCTGGAGTACTGCATCCAGTTCTGGGCCCCCCACTGCAGAAAGGATGTGGACACATTGGAGAGGGTCCAGCGGAAAGCAACCAAAGTGATTAGGAGGCTGGAGCACATGACCTGCAAGGAGAGGCTGAGGGACTGGGCTTATTTAGTCTACAAAAGGGAAGAGTGAGGGGGGATTTGATAGCAGCCTTCAACTTCCTGAGGAGAGGTTCCAAAGAGGATGGAGAGAGGCTGTTCTCAGTAGTGAAGGGTGGCGGAACAAGGAGCAATGGTCTCAAATTACAGTGGGGAAGGTTTAGGCTGGATATAGGGAAAAACTACTTCACTAGGAGGGTGGTGAAGCAATGGAATGTGTTACCTGGGTAGATGGTGGAATCTCCATCCTAGAGGTTTTTAAATCTCGGCTTGACAGAGCCCTGGCTGGGATCATTTAGCTGGGATTGGTCCTGCTTTGGGTAGGAGGCTGGACTCGATGACCTCCTCTGGGCTTATTTAGTCTACAAAAGGGAAGAGTGAGGGGGGATTTGATAGCAGCCTTCAACTTCCTGAGGAGAGGTTCCAAAGAGGATGGAGAGAGGCTGTTCTCAGTAGTGAAGGGTGGCGGAACAAGGAGCAATGGTCTCAAATTACAGTGGGGAAGGTTTAGGCTGGATATAGGGAAAAACTACTTCACTAGGAGGGTGGTGAAGCAATGGAATGTGTTACCTGGGTAGATGGTGGAATCTCCATCCTAGAGGTTTTTAAATCTCGGCTTGACAGAGCCCTGGCTGGGATCATTTAGCTGGGATTGGTCCTGCTTTGGGTAGGAGGCTGGACTCGATGACCTCCTGAGGTCTCTTTCAGCCCTATGATTCTATGATTCAAACATAACCTACTTTGCAAGCAGTAAAAGAAGTAATAACAACCTCCACGTATGTGTTGGGTCAGGAGATGAGAGTGAAGGACAGTTTGTGAGAATGACAGAAACACACACACTGTGTGAGAGTGACAGAGATTTTCATTGCCAAGCTCCCTCCATCCCCTTCTCTTAGTGTGAAGATAGGATACAGAAGTGGGGGGAGGAGAGACACCCTGACCTCAGATCCCTTTTCTCCCTCCCACACTCTGCTCAGCAAGGAAGAGGCTCCCGGGGGGGGGGGCAGCTCCAAATAAGAGGGCAGGACGTTGGGTGGAGGGGCAACTGAAGTGTCAGCGCTTGCTAGCTTCCTGGCCAAACCATTCAAGATCACCTTTCAGAGGCTCCAAGATCTACTGGTTGGTGACCACTGCTGTTTACCACCACTTTCCTTACATAATTTTAAAAGTGTGGCATCCTTTTGGCAGTGTGAGAAGAGACAGTAAAGAGGTGAGAGTACCGAATGATCAAGGGCCATTGTCAAGAACACATCTTTGCAAAAAGATTTCCTTCCAATTTCTCTGTACAAGC